TATCTTGTCTAAAAGATAGTGGAACTCAATCTGGTTAGATTAAGAATTGAACGTAGTCTTGGTGGTTGAGATAAACCAATATCAAATTCAAGTGTTTTATCTAACTCTTCTCCAACACTTTTTCTATTAAATTCTTATTCTCTTTACTGCTTAAAAGTGAGTTTTTAATATACACTATTCAACCACTTTATAATGTGTGTCTTTTCTCCATAGTTGAGATGTCAAATCTAAAAGGTTTTACAATGGAAATGATTAAAATATAACGATCTAACTTTTATCAACTATTGCATCATTTAATAATTTTATATTAAAAGTGAGTTTTGTCAATTTAAATATTAAACTGTATTTTTATATTACTTTAAATTTGTATGTCACATTTTGTTAAAATTGAACAATAATAAAAAAGTAATCAAATTATTCATATTTTAGTATATTTTTAAAAATATATTTTACGTCAATTTTAATCTATATAAATAAGATATCAAATAATTTTAAATTAATATAAAATTTTATAATTATAAAATAAGTGAAATACTGAAATGAACTTTCAATCTAATAATGAGCTTTGACATAAATATCATCCAATTAAAAATTAGTATTATCAATCAACTTGAATGTGAACATATAATTATATTATTAATTTGTATAGGTTAAATATGTTTATTATATATTACTAAAATTTATAATAATTGTATGTTCAAAAAAGTACTATACTTGAATATTAAAATTATATTTAAAATTTATATAAATATACATTTTTAAATTTTAAATTTATGATAAATAATTTATATTTTGGTATAAAATTAGTTTTATTTATTAATAATTTATTTTAAAATATTTAAATTTTATTTATAAATAAATAAGTTGAATAATATTGAATTAGAAAAAAAAACAGATAAATAGTCTTTAAAAAGACTTCGAAAACTCCTTAATAATTATTCGTATTTAATAAATAATAATAAATAACTCAGTGAAGTTATCTTAGTAGTATTTTTGTTTTCAAGAGTTACCATTGTGATAGAGTTTGAATAACTAGAGATTCTTCCTATGAAAAAAAAAAAAAAAAA